AAGCCCTTTCATTTTCCCCCTCTATTTTCTTTCTGAAAAACTCCTCTAGAGTTTCTGTGCTGTGGGCCTAATCTCTAGTGCCTTTGGGTTTGTGGGCTATATGAGAGCCAGAGTGCTAACGATGCCACCTAGCTCCACACAGTGAAATATCTACTTGAGCTTTGGCTCCAACACAACTGGTACCCTACTTATGGATTAAAATGGACTAATTTCTTGATATGTCTGTTAATTAGGAGCAAAGGATTATTTTTTTTTTCAGTTCAAGCATGGATTTTTCACCTTAACATTATAGTGCAATCACTAGACAGCCTATATGTCAAAGATCTGCTCCTTCCAGGTGATGTATAAATCATGAGACATCTTGGCGGAATAGCTGACAGTCGGCTCCTTCCTTGCCATTGGTGATACATGGTCAGCCTGCGGCCATGTTGAGATGTGACCCTCAGAGTCATTTTGTCTTTTCCCCTCTTTTTTTTTTTTTTTTTTGAGATGTTTTTGCTATAGGCCGCATGTGCTCGCCAGAAAGACAGAGAGAGACAGAAAGCGAGAAATCACCCTCCCAGGGGGGATGGCCACGCCGCAATACCTTCCCCTCCATTCTCCTCTCGGGATCTTGGGCATGCGGGCACTCACGCACACGCGCCTGGCGTGAGTTTAAGCCGCCGGGTCTGGGACTCGAACCGCGGTCGACTACTTGGGAGTCCAGCGACATAGCCATTATGCTAACTGCTGGTCCCTCTATCACATCTTGATAGCACTGAAGATCATTCTTTTTAAAAGTTTGTTTCTTCTATTAGAGACAGAATCCCCGATAGGGATCTTGGCACTGTGAGCCACACCTAGCCTGTCAGCCCAGATCATGGGCACAGGCATACGGGGCATACTCAAGGAGGTCTCTGAACATGAACCTGCAGTTTTCTCACATGGGTCTGCCTCGCAGAGCGTCACATTTCCCCACCGCCTCACCATCCAGTACCTCGGCCATTAGGTTTAACCTGTGACGCGACGTCTCTCCTGTCTATCTTCGGGATTCCTCTAGATCCTTCCTTGACCTCATTCTTTACATTATGTTAGCAGCCAAGTATTGAATGATGCTAAGGCTCTACTTTGCTCTAGAGATAATGGATGACTTAGTGAAATATCTATCTGAGCCTTGGCTCCAACACAACTGATACCCTTGTTATGGATTATAATGGACTCATTTCTTGATATGTCTGTTAATTAGGAGCACAGGATTATTTTTATATCGATCTTGATAGCACTGAAGAGCATTATCTTTTCAAAAGTTTATTTGTAAGTAAGAAGGTAGTAATGGATTCAAATGTGTTAATGAGTTAACGTCCATTTCAATGTAGTTTTCAAAGCCAAATTGTGTTTTGTGTCCTAGAAGTTCTATGGTGGTCTCCTAGGAGTCCTTTGGAAATTGAAGGTTTCTAGATTTCTCTTCTCTTTCTTTTCTACCTCTACTGCTTTCATTACAAGAGATATAATTTAATATGTTTTATAATTTGGACTTCTATGTAGGATTTTTATCAGGTAAAATACTCAGAAAATAAAAAAGATAGGAAGCACTGTCTCCCAAGGAGACATGAATGTTGGGGCTCTGATTCTCTGGCTAGATCTCATATAAATAGAGGAACTTCTTCAAGCTCCCTATTTGGCTATTTTTAAATCTTGCTTCCAGTAGTCATGTGGGTCAGGAAAGAATGTCTCAAGGGGCTAGCAGGAGGTGTAGTAGTAAAAGTGCTGGACTCTTAGATGGTTGACCATGGTTCAAACCCTGGACTCAGCAGCTTGAAAATTATGCTATGTACGTGTGCATACATGCCCAAAATCCTGAGAGGAGAATGAAGAAGGGATTGCAACATGGTCGCCCTCCGGGGAGTGATTTCTCACTTTCCTCCTCTCTGTCTTCCATCTGTCACCAGTGAACACATGTACCCTATTGCAAAAAAAAAAGAAAAAAAAAACTGGAAAAAGAAAAGAATGTCTCTTTGAACAGCAAATGAAACCAAGCTTGCTGTCTTTCATAATGAGAACATATTAATATCTTTTCCAAATGAAGAATTGTCTCTATTACAGTGTTTTGTTTAATATCAGTAGCCAGCTGCTCATGTATTCATCCACTCAATCATTTGTGGTAGTGCTTTTTTTTTTTTTTTTGGAGAGATTTTTGCTACAGGGTGTGTGCACTCGCCAGAGAGACAGAAAGCAAGAAATCACCCCCCCCCCTCAGGGGGATGGCCACACCACAATCCCTTATCCTCCATTCTCCTCTCGGGATCATAGGCACACATGCACACACGCCTGGCGTGAGTTTAAGCCACTGGGTCTGGGACTCGAACCACAGTCGACCACATGGGAATCCAGTGACATAGCCATTACACTAATTGCTGATCCCCGTGGTAGTACATTTTTGATGCACCTACTGTGTGTGATGTGGTATAATTCTACTAAGAAATTGTATATTCCTTGCCCTGATCGAGCCTAAAACTCCCATTTTGTGTATTTGTGTGGGTAAGGTGGGGGTAGGGTGAGACATATAAATTAGAATACAGAATAAAATTAATTGAATACTTTTAAAGATATGCAGAGAATCGATAAAATTATTGGGTTGTTGGAAAAATCATGATGTATTTTTTACTATGCAAAAATGCTTCATGACTTTTCTGATCACCAATATTAATGCAATTGTTTTTAACTTGTAGGCATAGCAAATCTGGGAGAAAGAATTCATGAAAAACTGTCATTTGAATTAAGTTTTAAGAGTTGAAAGACCTTGGACCTACCCTGTAGTACAACACTCAAGCCCTCTGCATAGGGAACTGGATCTCACATGACCGACCATGGCTCAAACCCTGGTTCTGGTGGCTTGACAAACACACTGGACACGTGTGCCTAAAATCCTGGTGGGATAGAGAAATGGAGGGAAAAGAACTGTGGTGTGACCATGCCCCATTGTGGGCTTCTCTTTCGCTCTCTCTCACTGGAGAGCACACACGCGCACACACACACAAAAAAAATCGAAAAGGCTTTCAAAAGTTGAAAAAGAGCATTTAGTCTTGTAGTCAGTAGATAATAGCACAAAATCTGAGCTTGTGCTAAACTCGAGTTTATATCCTGGCTAAAGCACTTCCTAAAAATGTGACTTGGAGGAAGTTACTTAACTTTTTTGAGGTTTAGTTTTCCCACTGGTAGACAGACATATTATAGTAACTATCCCATTGAGCTGTTCTGAGGATTAAAAAAAGTAAATACATCGAAAGTGCTTAAAACAACTAGAAAAGGCTTAGTTTTGTTAACTCATACATGTTAGGTATTTTTATTGTTTTTCTTGTGGAGTAAAGGTATTTCAGATTGACCAAGCAACATAAGTAAAGGTAGGAAAGTATAACTTTGAAAGGTTTGTTCTGGTATTTAGAACTCTCACAGCCGGAAATGCTACCGGGTAACTCAAAACGTAGACTTACGGATTCTGTTAACAGCACAGAACAACATTTCAAATAATATCAGCTTTTGCCAGCCATGCTTTACACCAAGGATCAGTGTATCACTCAGGGTTTTCCAGGGAAACAGAACCAATAGGGTATATCGTATGTGAAAGTGCTTCTAAAATATTGTGGGGAAAAAACAGGTGAAAGCATGAGTTTATTTTGGTACCCAAATTTTAAAAAAAATTATGCATAGATTTTTCATAATACACATTTTACGTGAACTTTTTGAAGTCCTCTCATATATATATATATATATATAATGATAATTGAGACTGAGAAGTCTCACAGCATGGCACCTATAAGCTGCAGACCCAGCAAAACTGGTGGTGTAATTCAGTCTGAGTCAGAAGGACTGAGAACTGGGGGATCCTATGGCTAACTCCCAGTCAGATGCTAATGGCCTGAGAACCTGGGAAGTAGAGGGTATATACATGTAAGTCCCAGAGTTGGAAAGCCTGAGAACCAGGAGCTCCAAAGCATATAGCAGGCGATGAAGGGAGAATTCACCTTTCCTCTTTTCCACCGTTGCTTGTTTTTGTTGTCTGGACTCTCAAGTGATTAGAGGATGCCCACTCACGCTGGGGAAGGTGGGCTGTTCTTACTCTTTCTCACTCAAATGCCAACCTCTTCCAGAAATACTCTGGCAGACGCACCAAGGAACAATGTTTTACCAGGTATTTGAGCATTCCTTAGCCTAGGTGAGCTGACACATAAAATTAACCGTCACAGTTAGTAAACGTTTAAAATGTAAAGGGCTAAACAGTATATTTGAATATGTGGGTTTTAGGCTTTGTGAACCTGTTCTCAGAACCACTCAGTCCTGCTGTTATATGAGAAAGCAGCCATAGACGATGTGTAAATGAATGAGCATGGTTACAATTTCAGTAAAACTTTGTCAGTGAACACTGAAAATTTAATTTCATGATATGTCATGAAATATTAGTCATTTTGGGGAACTGGATTTGGCCTGTGTGCCGTAGTGCTGACCCCTGCATGGCAACATTGTCCCTTTGGTGAAAGAATTCTGCATGCTAAATAATTTACTTTGCAATAGACTTCAGAACTGCAGCCTCCGTATTTTTCTAGCTGGTTTATTTTATTCACAAGCATGTTACCATGAACAAGTTACTATGAGCATGGATTTCTCGAAGATCTTTCTCTTTACAAATAATTTGTAATGTCAGCTCACACTTACTAGTAACATTTATTTGGGATCCTTCCACACAATTCCAAAGAGGCATTTTCATCAACATTCAAGCTCTAGCTTTCAATCTCTGTATGGACCACTGTTCTTTATCCAACTTCACTTCACTCTAACTTCTTTTTAACTGATTGATTGATTTCTGAAGAGTTATCAACATTTTTTAAAAACTGTGATAAGCACACATACATTTTGCCACTTTCACTGTTATGTTTTGGTATCGCTGAGTAGTATTAAGTGTATTCACATTGTTTGTTTCAATCTCCAGAACACTTTTTATCTTACAAAACAGAAACTCTATTAAACAGCTGCTCCCCATTTCCTCCTCCCCTATGCCACTAGAAACTGCCATTCCACCCTTTGTTTCTATGAATTTTACTACTGTAGGTATCTCACATAAGTGGAATCACACAGTGTCTGACCGTGGGTGACCTGCGTATTCCGAAGGCGTGTCCATGTTGTAATATATGCCAGCATTTTCTTCCCTTCTAAGGCTGCATAGTGTTCTATCGCATGTCTATGTTTGTCTTCGTTCATTTAGGCTTCTATTGAATCATCAGAAAAGTCATGACACATTTTTGCCTAGAAAAACATAGAAAAACATGTTACGACTTTCCTGATACCCCAGGATAACAAAATGTCATAAACTAGATCACTTGTAAACAACAGCAGTGCATTTCTTAAAGTTTTGGAGGCTAAGTGTAAGACTGAGGTGCTCATCTTGGTATCTGGAGAGGATTAGCTTTCTGGTTCACAGGTTGTTCCTTCCTGCTATTCCCACACATGGTAGAAGATGTGAATGAGCTCCCTTGGGCCTTTTTTATTAGGGCTCTGATTCCATGCATGAGGAGTCCACCTTCAGTACCTAATCACCTCTCAAAGGCCCCACCTCCTAATATTATTGCCGTGAGTGTTAGAATTTGGGACTATGGAAGTCAACATTACCAGGTACAGAAATGAATTTTCTATTGTGAAATTTGGTTTTCTACTAGTTGACCTGAATATATCATGGATCTGTGAAGTTGCCAAGGAATCAAAGCTTAATCATGCCTCAGCATTTTTTGTACAGGCTGCTAATTGCTAAGCAAGACTCCCTTTCAGACCATCAAGGGCAAGAGTGGCAGAATTGAGTTCCTGGATCAATCTTTGTCTTGATATATGGCAAATCCCATTTCAGCTTCCAGAAGGAGGGCTGCTAATGATTAAGTCAGGCACATTCTGTAGTCACTCCGCACTGTAGTGCTAGACGCGCTGTTTCTGAGCCTCAGTGAGCTCATCTACACAGCAGGAAGAATGGCTACTTTGAAGAGTTGCTAAGGATTGAAGGAGATGATGTATACTTGATAGCTACTGATGGCTGTGACTATTATTTGAGAACTCTTATTATTTGCCTCTAAGATCAGTGTTTTCCTTTATAAACCATCTCTTCCTGAAATAGAAGTTCAGTCCCTATGTGTTTTCCTACTCAGAACATTTTGTGGCATCATTGTGACATTTTATAATTTAGAAAAGATTCTATACTTTATACTTGACACAGGTAGTTTCTACCCTGCATTCCTGTTTCAGATAATGCATAAAAATACTAAATTATACTGTCTTGGATCAGGTCCCTGAGTTTCTCTATTATTAATACTTCTTTACTAAAAGCCACATACATTCAACTCTAATCTTTCCTTCTGATTATTAATACAATTCTTTTTTCTATTGTAAGACATAGTCCCACTAAGATCCATGCCACAAATTTTTTAAAATGTCTTTTTATGTCTTGATTGTGTGTATGTGTTTACTATTCTGTATAATCCTATAAATACTGTATCAGTCACCTCTGAAAAATTATTTAAATTTGTGATGTCTAATGTTCTTAACCAATAAAGAGACATTTCTTTCTCTAAAAATAGCTTGCTGTTTCTACTTCGGGTAGCCATTGGAGGGGCCGAATTGCCTTCACATGATAGTGAGCTATTATCTAGTTTATACAGACATAAAAAGGTGCATATATGTCTGGCTGAAAAGCACAGATATGGGGGTCTTGTCTACCTGTGCAAGTTAGGTATCCGTGAGGGACTGTGGTGTAAATGACCTCAGAATAAATAGGAGGGGCTGACCAGCATCCCTGGGTGGCTAGAAGGTCCAAGAGTAAGGTGATGAATTGGCTTAAAGGTCACAAAAGGGCGCTGACCGCATGGGTTAGACCTGCTGTCTCCTGCGCTGAGTGACCCTACTGACGATGACATTTTGTGATGAAGACTTAGGACATGAGCCTAGAGAGGAGAGCATCTGAGAAGTAGCTGAGTGTGAGGAAGAGAGAGAGAGGAGGAGGAGACATCACCTATATTGTGGGAAAGCTATGAATGCACGGCCTCCTGGGTCACTAAGCCTGCTCAGACTGCAGCTGATTCTAGGCACCCTTGAAAAGGAAGGATTCTCATGTTCCTGTTGCACCATCTCCAATTTTTACAGGAGATGATGGGTAGCTACATGTGGGTGACCAGGAAACAGCTGGAAAGGTATTTTTTCGAGTAATTTATTATGGTAAAATAGACGTAACATAAAATTTACCATCTTAACCATTTTTAAGTGTACATAAGTGGTACTAGGTACACTCACATTGTTGCACAACCATCACCACTATCTTCTCCTTTGTGCACATGTGTGAAGTTTTGCACTATAGGGCGCATGTGCTTGACACAGATACAGAGAAAATGAGAAATCACCCAGTCACCCTAGAGGCGGACACGCCAAAATCTCTATCCTCCATTCTCATATTCAACTTTATTTACTTATTTTATTTGACCAGAGAGGGACAGGGTGAGAGAGAGAGAGAGAGAGAGAGAGAGTGAGTGGGAAAGTGAGAAAGTAAGCCTCCAGGTCCGGAACTAGAACTGCGGTCGACCATGTAGGAATCCAGCACCCTTAACCACCACACCACCTGCCAGCTCCCCCAGTGTGATTTTCAAGCCTCCATGTCGGGGACTCAAACTGAGAAGTCTGTCATATAGGATCCAATACCTTAACCTCCACACCAACTGCTGGCCCTTTTCCTTCATATTTTGAAAAATGTTTTTCTATGCATCAAGCTCTAGGTTAACATTTTTTTTCCTTCTGGTTCTTTGTCTTCTGGCTTGCAAAATTTCTGGCAAATCTACAAAGGCAGTTCTTACCTTTGTTCTATGTAAAATGAATTTTTTCTTTGGCTGTCTTAAGGCTTTTTCTTTCTTTGGTTTTCAGAAGTTTGAATATGATGTGAGTTTAAAATATGTGTGTGTGAAGGAACCAGCAGTTGGTGTAATGACTATGTTGCTGGACTCCCATGTAGTCGACCGTGGTTCAAGTCCTGGACCTGGTAGCTTAAACTCATGCCGGGTACATATGCGTGCATCCCCAAGATCCCAAGAGGAGAATGGAGGAGAAGGGATTGCGGCGTAGCCATCCCCCTGAGGGGTGATTTCTCGCTTTCTGTCTCTCTGTCTCTCTCTTTCTGGCGAGCGTACGCGCCCTATAGCAAAAAAAACTCTCCAAAAATAAATAAATAAACTAAAATGTGTGTGTGTGTGTGTGTGTGTGTGTGTGTGTATATATATATATATATATAGCTTTATGTATATGTATATATGCATATATGTGTGTATATATGTATATGTGTATTATGTATATATGTGTGTGTATATAATGTCTGTGTGTGTATATATATAGCTTTATGTGTATATATACTATGCATATATATGCATATATATGTGTGTGTATTATGTGTATGTGTGTGTAAATATTGTGTGTATACACACACACACATACACATACAAACATACATAGGGTCATCTGAAAAGTCATGATGCTGAGCCACCATCAGCCACCCAAGGAATGTTTCTTAATATTCCTATTTCACCCTCAGCTTTAGGCTTTTATTGTGAGCCTGCATCTCAGAGGGATTCTTTTCTTCATATTCTACTTTAGCAGTAGACTGCCACATTTACTTAATGTTTGCTAGCTGAGTCGGGGAGGGCGACATGCAGGAGGTTCATTTTATGTTGTCCTGGGACAGCCGTAGCCTTGGGCACTGTGTCTCTGAGTGTCACAGGTGCTGCGTTCTCGTCGGTTATCCTGTTTTGTTCCAAGTGAGAGGGAATCTCTAACAGTCTGCACCCAGGCTTTTTCCTGCCCCGGGCAGAGTAGTGAGTATTTTCTATTTCATTTTCTCAGTGGGCATCAGCTTTCAGCTGTGCCTTTAGATATGTTTTCTGTGTTCTCCCTGTTCTAGAAGCTTAGAGCATCTGTACCTTAGGTAAGATAGAACCCGGGCAGGGCTGTTACCCTTCCCTCTCTTCCAGTCCTGAAGCACCATCAGCTTTCCCTGATCTCCTGCCCTGTTACCTCCTCCTTATCCCCAAGCCCCACATGCCCAGTCATTTTAATGCTTGCCCAGCGATATTTGAAGGGAAAGTTCACAAGTGCATGCAAGACTGCTTTGTTCTGAGACTCTCAAGGGTCTATGCTCTCATGCTAGTTTACAATCTGCCTTTTGTGATTTGCCGAAATTTTTTGTTATCACCAGCTTATATGTTCTTGGTGTCTTCTACTCCCATGCCCTAACCCAGGAGAACAAGTGCAGGCAGTCCCTCTCTACTTGGAAGTACTGTCTCTGATGGATTCAAGAGATAATTTTGTAAATGATCTGGATTTTTGTTGTAGTTAGAATTGGAATGGAGGTCTTTTCAGCCTCCTGTATCCTAAAAAGATATCAAAAATCCATTGAATTGCCACCTAAACTTTTAAAGGTGTTGAAAAGATTAATTTCTCTTCCTTTGTTAGCTTTATTGGTTATTATAGGTTAATGTGATACATAAAGAGCCCCATTGGTTTAGAATAACTTCCTATGAAAATAAATCTATCAGAATAGAAAGCTTGGTTTTTCGTGCCCTTCAGCTCTTCTTAATGCCCACGGATCCTGGCTTTCTCTTTCTCACTATGTTCTTTATTTGTTACATGTCCTTTTATTTTCTTGCTATCATAATTCCAATTCCTTAAGGGCAGAAGTTACATCTATTATTCATATTTGTCCTTCCCTAACTCCTCCCAGCATGGAGCCTTATGTGTATCAGTACTTTATATGTTTGCTGAATTCTAACTAAAGTAATTTATAATTTACCCTCATTTGTAGATCACTGCGCTACTGGATCTTTAAAGTATCACTTGACTTCCTGAGTGGATAGCTGAAAAGTCATGAGTTGGTCCCAATAAGAAAGAAATGTTGACCTATTATGACTGATAATACATTTAAAACAAAACCAAAAAAATAGGTTTCAATCTTCGCTGTGTGAGCACCACATTTAGTAATTCATAACTGAATTTCTTGTAAGCAAACCCGGAGACAATTCTCTCACTGCTTGATTACACAGTAAACCATTTCTCATAAAAGAATCATCAATTCATAAAGTAGTCATTATAATGTACAGTATGCATGAAACATGCAGTATAAGGAAGGCAGCCTACAGGAAATGAAGAGAAAGAGCAGAGGACTTGCAAGAAACCTTCACATTTAAATTCTTATTTTTGCCTTAAAGATCTTCAATTCCCAGGACAAAGGAAAAGAGGTTATTTTTTCTTGTTATATTATTCCAAATCACTTTCAAAAAGAATTGCAAATGGGTGCATGTGCTTTCCAGGAACAGAGAGAGAAGGGGATGGAGTAGGGGAACACCCCCCAATGGAGTATGGTCCCACCACAATTTCTTCTCCTCTGTTTTGCCATCCTTTTGGGAATTGGGATGTATGTATGTACACATGCTTAGGATGTTTTTTAAACAGCCAGAACTGGGATTAGAACCTCAGTTGGCCATGTGGGATCCAGTTCCTTTAACTACTAGACCATAAAATTGGCCCTCTATATCAATTTTCTTAATATATACTTTTTAATGATTGAGAAATACAAGTCTTACTGATGATAAGTCTTAGCACTTCTGATCAGCCTACTTAGAGAAAGGCCAGAGAGAAATGAAGAGCATATTTTCTTTCATTTTCCTAGCACTTTATAGATTATAAAACAATTTCACATACTTTATATGTGACGTACTTAGGACCTTGTGTTCTATTTTACAGATACAGTAACTGAAGCTCAGAGCAATATACAATTGGCCTAAAGTCATGTAGTTAGTAAGAAGTGTAGTTTGGGCCATCTCTTCTGGGATTTGAACTGTAGTTGACCATATGGGTTCCGACTTTCTTAACAATTACACTATAAAGCCAGCCCTCTCTATTTTTTTCTTTAAAAATCTCTACAACTGCTCAGATCTTTCTACATGTAACTGTGAGAATAAAATGGCTTACCCTCCCACATATTGCCTATTGCATAGGAATTTTTCAAAGATTAATGACAAGGATATTTATGAAAATGTCTCTGTGACTTACATTTGTAACTATACAGATATATGGCTTTTGCCATTTGTATTTAATTTACATTTTAAAACTTTTTTTTTTTTTTGGAGCTTAGCCAGACAAGATGTAGCTCAGCAGAAAGGCTTGAAACTTTGTGAGCAAGTAAATAAATGATCCAGTGAATAGTATTAGCATATAAGTGAGTTCTCCACTCCTGTGTACGGAGGTCAGCAGGCCTCCAGTGGTAGGTGGATATAAGAACTCATCTTGGTTTTCCTAACTTTTTTTTAGCTTCTTTCTTTAGTTTGTAGGTTGTTAGAAAAAATGCAGTGTTCTAAGGGTTGCAAAACCTTCAACTAAGGAGGACAGGTAATCAAAGTGGGGGCTGGACACCAGTATTGCTATCTGCAGACCCAGTTTGATGTGGGTTCACAATAAGTCCTAAAATTTAGAGATATTTTTAGCCTCTTTCTCTGGTTTCCCTCCTAATTACAACATTTATTTTTCTCAACTTTCTTAGAAGATAGGGTAAGGGGGAAATAGTACCGACCTGGTTTTGTCTAGGTAATTCTGATTACTTAGGACACTTAGTTGTAGGAAAAGAACTCCAGCATCAGATATAACTGGTCTGACCCTATATAGAAACTTTCTTAGAGGTAGAAGTGAGCTCATTTGTAGCACTCTTACAATAAATACTGGTTTACTCTTTGTCTTAATAACCCAGCAAGCCAGCATTCTAACCTAGTGAGTGTTTTGTTTTGTTTTAGATATTATTGCTATAGGGCACGTGCACTTGCTGGAGAGACAGAGACACAAAGCAAGAAATCCCCCCTCCCCCCCCCGGGTTATGGTCATACTGTAATCTCTTCTCCATTTTCCTCTTGGGATTTTGGGCATCTATGCACACACTCCCAGCATGAGTTTCAAGCTGCTGGGTCTGGGACTTGAACCGTAATCAGCCATGTGGGAGTCCAGCACCTTCACCATTATGCCACCTGCTGGCCCTCTAACCAGGTTTTAAGAGAGGTATGTGTTGGGGGCAGCAGGTGGTGTGGTGGTTAAGGTGCAAGACTCTCACATAGCTAACTATGGGTGGAGTCCTGGAATTGGTGGCTTGCTTTCTCACTTTCTCTCTGTCTCTCTGGCCAAATTAAAAATAATAATAATAACACATAACTCTAAAAAAGTGTAGAGGTATGTATTCGATTAGGGAATTTTAAAAGAAAGACTCTGCCCACCCTCTCAAAATGCAAAAGAATCTGGGCAAAAAGACAGAGTGGTGAGCCCTAAGTTAATCGATTTGTTTTAAAAATAAAAATAGGGAGGAACTACACAGAAGGGATTGTTTCATGTGACAGAAATTTGTTCTTTTTAGAGAGAGGAAGAGTAGAGTAATCCAGGAAGTTTCTATGGGATGTCCCATAGCCAAATGATCCTTTGGCCATGGGCCATATTTTCTAGAGGTGAACCTTTCTGACATTGTGCTAAATAAAAATATTAATCCTTCTCCCTTTTCGAAAACCTCTACAGAAAAGGTTAAGGATGAGCAGAAAGGAAGAAATGTTGAAGCATTCCAAAGCGAAAAGGCAGCAACCACACCATCACTAATATTTGAAGGCCTCTCTGCTCAGTCAGCCTTCCCAAGTCTTAGGTAACGTCCTGCTTCATCAAGACCTTTGGAGGTTTCATTTCAAAGATTTTTATAAGGACCAGAATACCCAGATATCTCTCCTGAGGAACTTTTTCTCTTCCAAATTTCTCTCTATCCAACATATATGGTTAGCTGTTTTTGTGGCTGTTGTTTGTTTGTTTGTTTGTTTTTTCCATAGCATGCGTGTGTTAACTGGAAGGAGACAAGAGAAAGACAGGGAAAGTGAGAAATCATCCCACCAAAGGGAATGCCTACACCATGATTCCTTCTTCTTGAGTCTCCTCTCAGGATTTGGGGTATGCACGTACATGCTTCTGGTCTGATTTTCAAGCCACCAGGTGTGGGACTCGAATAGTGTTTGGCCATGTGTGAGTCCAGTGCCTTAACCACTATTCTACCTACTGGTGCATATATGGTTAGCTATTGAAGTCATGCTATTACTACAAAGAATAATTGCAAAATAAAAACTACA